GCGGTCAGTTTTAGATTTGTAAATTACTTTAGAATTAGCAAGAATTGATTTCAGCATTTGCTAATAGAAATTTCGCCAAGCTCTTCAATTTTTTTAATGTTTTACAGTGGTTGTTGTTGTTGTTGTAGCAGTAGTGCATGTGTGTGTTTGTGTTCTGCTAATCTGGTTCCAGCTCCAGGTTTAGAAATTCGGCTACTTTAACGGGCTGTAGCCAGAGATCCTCTGGAGTGAGTTGGGTAGGTTTGGCTGAGCAATTAAAAAGGTGTAGCGTATTGTGCGGGCCTGTATCGCACGCCGGGCAGGCGTCACGCACATCTTCATCAATTCGTGCCCAATACGAATTGAGGCGACTACACCATCCTGAACGCAATTGCGCCAAAACTACCCTGGTTTGTCTAGGCAGCTGACGTTCTTCGGCTGCAATGGATGGGGGGTGGACTCCGAGGACGGCATTCACTTTATAACTGCTCATAGCATCCGCGACTGCATCGGTGTGAATGCCACTCAGACCTGCCTGATAGGCTTCTTGATCTAGAGGCTCTCTCTTGTAGCGCTGGACCTCCCTCTCTAGATCATGTATGTCCTTCCTGACACGCCTGGGTGGGGGAGAGTTATCCACCATATGATGGTTGGGATGACTCTCGCGGTAACACCCAAGCAGGTACTGCAACGAAAGCATATGATTATGCTGACGTAAGGGAAGGACTTTCGCCTCCTCATGTAGATGATCCACTGGTGTCATGAGGAGGCACCCTGTCGCAGTTCTCAGGGCAGCGTTCTGGCAGGTCTGGATATTCTTCCACTGCGTAGCACTAGTATTCGCAGACCACACTGGAGCCGCATAGTTGACCACAGACCGACCTATCGCGTTATAAGAGGTCAACAAGGTTTCTTTGTCCGCACCCCAAGAGCTTCCGGCTAGCGCCTTGAGGACCTTGTTCCTACTTTTCATCTTGTCGCAGATAGCTGTGGCTTGCGCGGACGACTTGAACATTACCCCAAGAATCTTGGGGTAGTTCGTGGTCGGTATTAGATTCCCCTCGACCTGAACATTCAGCTGTGTTCTCATCTCCGCAGACCATGTGGTAAAGAGTGTGGCCGTTGATTTCGTGGCGGATATTATCATATTCCTCGCGTGGAAGTATGCGGCAAGCTCCGCGAGATAGGGGTTCAACCTTTCGCATATGTCATCGACCACTGGACCCGACGCCATGAACGTACAATCATCCGCATACGTTACGATCTCAATGCCGTCTGGAGCGCGAGGAATTCCGGAAAGGTAGAGGTTAAACAGTTCCGGAGATATCACCCCGCCTTGGGGAACTCCCTGTTTCACTCTACGGGCTTTGGACTTCTTGTTCCGGAATTCCACGTACGACTGGCGTCCACACATATAGTTGATTATCCAACGTTTCAAACTTGGCCGGAGGGTAGTTCTCTGTACGTCCTCAAACAGTGTGGCATGATTGACCGTATCAAATGCCTTTGATAGGTCAAGGGCTACCAACACTGTTCTGTCACACGGCCTGTTCTGGTTTAGTCCTCTACTAATATGTGTGGAAATGGCGTGTAATGCTGTTGTGGTACTATGTTGTGGACGGAATCCATGCTGGTGGTTGGCAACTGTATAGCTTCCTCTAATGCTGGGGAGGAGTAAAGCCTCAAGAGTCTTTGCTACTGGCGACAAAAGCGAAATCGGCCTGTACGATTCGCCTTTACTGGCATCCTTGCCTGGCTTCAGTAGCGGGACCACCGGGCCCATTTTCCAGGTTTCGGGCACTATGTGGGTGGCTAGCGACAAATTGAGAACTTTCGTTAAGTACTCGACTCCCGGCGTATCCAGCTGCTTCAACATTACCATTGAGATTCCGTCCGGGCCCAACGCTTTGGATGACTTAGCGTTACGGATGACATTTGCAACATCACCCATCGTAAACTGTGGTGGTTCCTCCTCGGCGGGAAGAGATCTGATACGACGTAGTACTCTTCGCTTCGCCCTATCGCTCTCGGGGTGCTCGACAAATTGTCGGTTAAAATATTCCGCGCACCTCTTCGGATCAGTCACCGTTACGTCGTTAAAAGTGACAGAGGTCCTATCATCCTTTTTTCCAGGGTTCGAGAGCGACTTAACCGTTACCCACAGCTTACTCATATCGGTTCCAATGTTGCAGCACTTCAGATGGTCTAGCCACTTTTTCCTCTTACGTCAACCGGTTGACTTCCACTGTCAAATCACTGATTCTAGGATCAGTAGGGTTGGTACGACGGAGATCATCACGCTCGTTTGCTAATCCCGCTGCCTCTGCTGGGAAGTTTGGTCTTATCTCGGGTATTCGACCAGCAGGTATATAGCGAGCGGCTGCAGCTCTGATGATGTTTCGGAAAATCCTTTCTGCTACCCGAACATCAGAAGGGTTGGGCAGTTCTCTGAAGCGGCGGTTGGTGAATTCTCTGAACTCTGGCCAGTGAGCTTTCCCATGGTTAAGGAAAGTGCGGCGTTCAGAGGTTATGAAATCGGGCGACCTGCTTATGGAGACGATTATCGGGAGATGGTCTGAGCCAAGAGAAATGACGGGTTGCCAAGTCACGTCATTTATCAGACCGGGTGACACTATGGTTAAGTTTGGCGAACTGTGACACTCTCCTCTTATTCGGGTGGGAGCATCCTCGTTAACCGTGCAGAATGTGGAGCAGTCAATCTGCTCTGCCAGCGCTGATCCCCTCTGGTCATTACCTAGGACGGAATGCCACAACTCATGGTGGGCATTAAAATCCCCTAGTACCAGGCGGTTATTGCCTACCAATAATGGGCTAATATCAGGCAAATAACGCGGTTCACAGCTATTAATCGGCGGGATATACACATTAAGCACCTCTACCTCGGCAGTTCCACACTTGACTGCTACCCCCATACATTCCATGTATGGGTCACTAGAGACAAGCTCAAGCGAGATAGGTCTGTACTGAACAGAATGGTGTAACAGGAACGCTAATCCCCCACCTCCACTTCTGGTGCGATCCTTCCTTAGTACGTTGTAACCATAACAACGTTGTAGGCTGCAATTTTCATTCAGCTTGGTTTCCTGCACCGCTGCGATCTTAATATTCCTCCGACTCATAAATTCCACTATCTCATCTATTTTGCCTCGAAGTCCGTTGCAATTGAATTGCAAGAATGATGCACAATCCGGAGTTGGAACAGCAACATGTGGCGTTAGGTGCTGCGGTGTTGGTTGCTGTTCTGGAGACTGCGGTGGAGTGCCATACTCCGACGACGTCTCTGACGAGGACGACGAAGAAGAGGACTCGCTGGGGACTACGTTACTGCAGCAAGTCGCAACATAATCCCTTTCGCTGTAGTCTCGCAAACGCCTTAATCCGGAACAGTTCTTAAAGTGCACCCACTCTCTGCATCCATTACATCGCACCGAGACAAATCTGTGGTGGATGACGTTCTGACAAACCGAGCAGAACCAAGGTCCGGGGTTTTCCTCAATCCCGGCACGGACCAATAAAATCCGGAGCAAGCATTCCAATGCAGAAAAATAAACAAACACAAACATGTACATACTGGGTTGGCAGCCGCTGGCCGAAACTGGAATCTTGTTGTTTCGGGTCAATCCGGTATCGTAGAACCCGCTGCCGTGGGATTGTTTCCAGTGGTAGGTACTTTCCCCTGATTCTGGGAAACAATTTATATATATTTTCTTGGGGGCCGTTCCGGGACCCCATATTTTTGCCCTGAAAGTCCGGGTTCAAGACTCGGGCTAGACCCGGATCCACTTATACAATATAAACGATATAGGTATCGCTTATAAAAATTCCTATCCAACATCTGCTCACTTGATGGGGTTATTTAAAGCGTTTCTGAAGTTATAGTCAAAATACAAATTTTTTATAGCCCGGATTTTTTTTATCAACAAAATTGATGCCAAATTATAGCTGACACTCTTACCACTTTGTCTGCCCGCCAAAAAAAAAAAAAGTTCCCGAAATCAGGGTAAAAAAAAATAACTACCTCTGGTAAAAAAATTTCGAAAAAATCGAAGAGTTTTTACTAAACTAGAGTTGTGCCAATTGGCCACAGCATTGAGGTTTTTAGCGCTAGGATCTTAGTAGTACCAGTGTCGGGAATCACTTCAATATTTCCAAATTGTTTTGCTGTTGTTATTTTCATGGTCAAAGGTCAAATACAAAATGGTTAAAATATCAATGTCGACTTAAAAATACAATGCCGTCACAATTTTTTACGGCGACAGATATTCTCTTAAAAACGACTTCATGTCGACTGTTCTTGTATCGACAAAGTTAATAGGAACCATTCATCGCGATCGACAAAAAACGACAACCCTAATACCATTATTGTCGCCTCGACTTCATTTTGCGACGACGACGACGACGATATCGGCAATAGGGCCGAATATGTTTACCCAAGAGTGTAATTCTCGCAATTCCTCGATGTTGATATCTTGAGTAAATTATTCTCTATATTTTCACCTCAATTGCTCGGCAGGAATCTGTTGGTCCCTGAAAAAAAATTTAAAACAAATTAATTTTTATTTAAAATTTTATTCAAATTGAATTGTTTGATTTTAATACTTACAATACTTTAGTGGAATAAAACGTTTTCCTTGATCCTCGATGTTGGTATCTTGAGAGGATTTTTGTTTTTTGAAGTGGCTCCTTTATATTTAAAATTCCCATATACTGCTCCATTGGTCCTTGAAAAAGAATCTTAAAAGGAAAGAATCCACTTTTATCTAAAAATTTTATTCAAATTGATTTTTTTCATTGTTGTCTTAGTAGAATATAGTTTTTTTACTAAGTTGTCGATATTGGCATTTCGAAAGAATTATATTTGAAATGCATCCATTAGTCCTTGAAAAAAATCTAAAAAATAAAGTCTCCACTTTTATTTAAAATTTTATTCAAATTGAATGTTTTTTTTATTGTTTTTATTTTTAATTTTATTTACAATGCCTTACTAGAGAATGGGGGTGTTTTTTTTTTTTGTTGGCAAATATGTTTTTAATTTATATTATAAATAAGTATTGTTATACAAAAAATCGTTGCTTATATTAATTTATAAAATATTTTGTATTAGTTTTCATACATATTTAAGTTAAGTAATTTACTAGCTTCTCTTTCTTTTTTTTTTTTTGTATTTTAGATTAACAAACTAATATTTAGTACGTACAAATATTATTGCTTTGTTTTTTTTTTCTTCTAAGCAAAAATTGTTTAATTCCATCTAAGTTACATAAATGGAAGTAGTTCCGACGAAAGGAGATTGATTAAAAAAAAAAAAAAAAACTTGGTTGGCATTAATACTTCACAACTAAAGAGAAACAAAACTTTAGCTATCGGGGAAAAAAATCATTTCATTTTTCTAAGAAAATTTCTATTTTTTAAATATTTTTTATTATATATTATTGGAGAAAAAGAGGAAAAATTATTTTATATTTTATGTACAAAGAAATGTTGTTTTTTAATTTATGTAATTGAAGTTATTCATGACATATGCTTATGATCTATTGTAATAATAATTATTACTATTATTTAATAGTTATTTGTTGTAACTAAGTTTTTTTTTGTAAGGTGTTATGAATTGCCATTCATTTGTAAAAAGTGTAGGTGAATGTATACACGTTTTTTTGTTTTTAATAGTTTTTATGTTGTCATGCAACCAGTTTTGTTGTTTTGCGGCTTAAAATAAAAAATAAAAGCTTTCAATTAGGGAAACAATTCGAAAATTTGCTTTCGAAAACACAAAAAAGCTAAGCTCTATTAATAAAACGAAAATGGGAAGATTGCCTATTATCGTTATAATAGGTTTGCTAAAAAATAATAGGCTATCTTAAGTAATTCAAAAAGAGTAGTTGTAGACAAATCTTCGACAGATTCAGTTTTCTATATACACTTAAATTACACCAAATCCTTTAAATGGGAAATATTTGGAAAAAGAAAATACAGCACCAATTTCATTTTGAATAAAGAAAGACAACAATGACCACTTTCACACATCTGGGGAGGCAGGAATCTGAAATAAAGGAAAATATTGGAAATTAGTAAAAAAAACAAGTAAAAAAGCTGTAAGTTCAGACGGGCTGAACTTTGAATACCGTTCACCATTTGGAACGAATTTAAGAAATAAATAAAAAATTAAACAATAAATAATAAATAAATAACAAAATAAATAAAATAAAAAATAAAAATAAGTAAAAAATAAAAAAATAAGTATATAAAAGAATAATAAAAAAATAAATAAAATATAAATGAATATATAAAAAAATAAATAAGAAAGAAAATAAAAAATATATATAAAAAACTAAATAAATAAAAAATAAGGAAATAAATATATAAAAAATAAATAAATAAAAAATTAATAAAAAATAACAAAACTAAATAAAAAAATAAATAACAAATAAAAAAAAATAAATAAAAAATAAAAAAAAATAATAAAAGCAAATAAATAAACACAAATAAATAAAAAAAATTAATAAATGTGTAAGCAAAACAAAATTAAAATTAAAAAAATAAATAAATAAAAAAATTAATAAAAAAATTAAATAAAAAAATAAATAAAAAAATAAATAAATAAAATAAATAAATAAATAAAAATAAAAAAAGGGTAAATAAATAAAAAAACGAATATATAAAAAATACATAAAAATATCAATAAATAAAATAATAAATAAATAATAAAAAATAAATAAAATAATAAATAAATAATAAAAAATAAATAAATAAAAAGAAAATTACAAAATAAAAAAACAAATATAAAAATAAAAAAAATAAATAAAACATAAATAAAAATAAATAAGTTAATATAAAAATAAATAAATAAAAAATAAACAAAAAGTAAAATAAATAAATAAAAAGTAAATAAATAAATAAAAAAGTAAATATATAAATAAAAAATAAAAAAATGAATAAATAAAAAATACATAAAAATTTCAATAAATAAAAAAATAAATAAATAATGAAAAATAAATAAATAATGAAAAATAAATAAATAAAAGAAATAAATTACAAAATAAAAAACAATATATAAATAAAAAAATAAATAAATAAACAAATAACATAAATAAATAAATAATAAATAAAAGGGTAAATAAATAAATAAAAAATAAAAAAATGAATAAATAAAAAATACATAAAAATATCAATAAATAATGAAAAATAAATAAATAAAAAGAAAATTACAAAATAAAAAAAACAAATGTAAAAATAAAAAAATAAATAAAACATAAATAAAAATAAATAAGTTAATATAAAAATAAATAAATAAATAAAATAAATAAATAAATAAATATAAAATAAATAAATAAATAAACAATGAATAAATAAATAAAAGAAATCCTTAAAAAATTCTGTTAAAATCTTAAAAATACCGAATGTAGTCGTTATATTAAAGTCTACAGGGTGAGATTAAAAAAAACTGCAACAAAGTCAAACGTCATAATTTGTACATTTTTTTTTAAATTTCATTGAATGAAAGCAAAAAATAAACAATTAAAAAAATAAAAATTAAATAAATAAAAAATTAATTAATAAATTAAAAATTAATAAATAAAAAATAAATAAACAAAAAATAAATAAAAAACAAATAAATAAAATAATAAATAAAAAAAATAAATAAATAAAAAAATAAATAACTAAAAAAATAAATTAATTAATTAATAAAAAATAAATTAATAAAAAATAAATAAATAAAAAATAAAACAATTAATAAAAAATAAATAAAAAATAAATAAAATAAATAAATAAAAAATAAATAAAATAAATAAATAAATAAATAAATAAACAAAAAATAAATTAAATCCATTAAAAATTCTGTTAAAATCTTAAAAATACCGAATACAACGGCTACATTCGAGTCTACAGGGTGAGATAAAAAAAACTGCAACGAAGTCAAACGCCCTAATTTTTACATTTTTTTAAATTTCATTGAATGAAAGCAAAAAATAAACAATTAAAAAAATAAAAATTAAATAAATAAAAAATTAACTAATAAATAAAAAATAAATAAATAAAAAATAAATAAACAAAAAATAAATAAAAAACAAATAAATAAAATAATAAATAAATAAAAAAATAAATAACTAAAAAAATAAATTAATTAATTAATAAAAAATAAATTAATAAAAAATAAATAAATAAAAAATAAAACAATTAATAAAAAATAAATAAAATAAATAAATAAAAAATAAATAAAAAAATATATAAATAAAAAAAAATAAATATATAAAAAAAATTTAAAAAAATAAAATACGGTAAAAATTCTGTTAAAATCTTAAAAATACCGAATGTAGCCGTTATATTAGAGTCTACAGGGTGAGATAAAAAAAACTGCAATAAAGTCAAAGGCCCTAATTTTTACATTTTTTTTTAAATTTCATTGAATGAAAGCAAAACGTGTCGGAAATAGCATCAAATTTTAGAATAATTTTAGATTTGTTTGAATTGGTCACCTTTGGCACGAATTATGGCCTTCAAACGGCCAATGAAATAAATAAAAAAATAAATAAAAATAAATGGAAAAATTAATAAATAAATAAAAAAATAAATAAAATAAATTAATAAAAAATTAATGAATAAAAAAATAAAAATAAATAAATAAAAAACAAATAAATAAATTAATAATAAAAAAAAGGAACAAAAAATAAAAAAATAAATAAATAGCAAATAAATAAAAAAATAAAATAAATAATAAAATAAAATAAAAATAATAAATAAATAAAAAAAATAAATACATTAAAACAAAAATAAATAAATAAATAAAAAATAAAAATATGAATAAAAAAATAAATAAATAAAATAATATATAAATTAAAAATATAAAATAAATAAATAAAATAATATATAAATTAAAAATATAAAATAAATAAATAAAAAAAACGATAAAAATTATTTTAAAATCTTAAAAATACCGAGTATAGCCGTTATATTAGGGTCTGCAGGGTGAGATTAAAAAAACTGCAACAATGTCAAACGCCATAATTTTACATTTTTTTTAAATTTCATTGAATGAAATCAAAAATTGTCGGAAATAGCATCAAATTTTAGAATAAATTTAGATTTGTTCGAATTGGTCATCTTTGGCACGAATTATGGCCTTCAAACGTCCAATGAAACCATCAAATGCTACCCGAATGTTGCTCTGCGGTATTTTGGCCCATTCCCGGCGAAGCGCTTGCTTGAGGTGATCGACACTTTGGAATTTATTTTTGTGCCAACCTTGCTCTCCAAAATACTCCAGACACAAAAAAGTCATCCGTTGGACTTTTGGTATCCGAAGATTTTGGTACCGTTATATGGGGGCTATACGAAGATGTGGATATGCATAGACATTTTTTTTTCATAAGATGTAGTATCCTTTACGAACTTTAAAGTACCAAATTTGAAACAATTCCGGTGAATAATGTCGCTAAAATCATCAAAAGTGACGAATATAGGGAGGTACGAAGACGTGGGTCTGCACCGACAATTTCCTGTCATAGGCTGTTGTATCCATTACGAACTTCAAATATCAAATTTGAAACAATTCCGGTGAATAATGTCGCTTAAATCCCCGAAATACCGAAAATAGGGAGGTAGAATTATATGAGTGCTATACGAAGACGTGGACTTACATGGCCCATTTTCAACACCAAAAGTCCTGCAGACATAATATACATTTGAGTAAAATTTAATCAACCTAATTCATTTTGTTCGGAAGCTAGAGTGATTTCCTAGAAGGACAGACGGACGAACATCGCTAAATCGAAATAGAGTCTAAAACCGTTATTTCGATGAGACAAGTTTTGGCAGTATCAAATGATATATACCCTCTGTAGCCATATGGCCTAGGTTTATTTTCTCTATTTCAATACCTCAAGAAGACCTCTTTACTCACCTCCATTATTTGCTTTTGTAATTTCAAACTCATCGCACAGCCGCCGTACCGCTCTGCCCACCAATTACCGTTTCGATAGCGGTGTCAGTAGAGTACTAACATGTCCCGAATTAATGGCTATTACTTCAGTTATATTGGCTAAATTGGAATTCATGTGGTGATGATGATGGTGGTGATGATAGTAAAATGGAGCTGTAGAATGCGCTGGTGGTTGGGCATGAGCAGCCTGGGTTAGCGATGTTTGATAGCTATGATGGTGATGTAAATACGATGAAGCACTTGGGGGTGGTGGCGGGTGTAAAGTTGCCGATGATGCCACTGACTGAGCCGTGGAAGCTGATGAGACTAGGGTTGATGATGTAGTGGATGAATTATTGGTCCTATACGACGATTGCTCCCCATGTTGTTGATGATGTTGTTGATATGTTGTATATAAACTGCCACTGTTGCTGTTGTTGTTATTGTTGTTGCTGGCTGGTCCTGTTGCTGCCCCGCTGACTCCTCTACCTCTATTTGGGTTTGTCTATAAACCAGTTATAACCACCTCATGTTGAGCATCATCATCCATATCGGGCATCTCCTGTTTGTGTATCATTTGATCGGAGGAATTATGCTGTTGCTGTGAGCCGGGCACTTGTGCCGGTTGCCGTGGTGCTGTTTGACCATATTTCTCATGAATGCCACGATGTCGTTTCAGGGCAAAACGATCGGCAAAGGCAGCTAAGCAGATATCACATTTAAATGGTTTTTCACCCGAATGAACCTTGGCATGATTTTTGAGATGAGCCGCCTGTGAGAATGCCGTACCGCAAATATCACATTTATATGGTTTTTCACCAGTGTGAATACGGCGATGATTCCACAGGGTGGCATGGCGGGCAAAACCTTTGTCACAAACCTCACAGACATAGGGTCGTTCTCCGCTGTGGGTACGTTCATGATTTTTGAGATGGGGTGATTGCGAGAACTGCATGCCACAGGTTTGACATCTGAAAACAAGAGAATTTATTGTTGATACAAAGAACGTTGAAGGGTATTCTTAAAACCTACTTGTAGGGCTTTTCTCCTGTATGTATGCGGGCATGATTTTTCAAATAAACTGCCTTGGCAAAGGCCAGTCCACAAATGGTACACTTGTAATTCTTTTCGCCACTGTGCAGCTTTTTGTGGGACCAAAGACTTGAGTATCGCGAAAAGGTTCCTCCACAAATATTGCAGGTGAAGGGCTTGACATTTCTGTAAAAAGAGGGCAGGAGAAGAGGGCATTGATTAGTTTTAAAATTTTTGGAATTTTAATTTGCAGTTTTTCTGCCAAATATTACACTTTTCTTACTCTGTCTTAATGGAGGCAACAGCCGCCTGGATGTTATTCTGTTTCGAAGCAGGTGCTCCCGTGCCCACATACACCATACCCGAACCATTGCATTTGTTGCATTTGGTCACCTTGGCCGAGGAACATTTCCTTTTGGCTGTACAACCTTCACGTTTCACAGTGACATTCGCCGTCGATGAATTTGTATTGGGCGCAGGTTGTTGCGTTGTAACAACTTGTATTTGTTGTTGTCCTTGGGCATTTGTAGAGATGATTTGTACCGGCTGCTGGATCATGGTCGTGCCGCCTCCACCACCACCACCACTTAAGGAATCCATGGAGGATTCAGAATTTCCACTAGCCAATTCATTCATACCAAATTTGATCTCACCATCCGGGGCTACAAATATTTGTGTTGGCTGACCTTGTTGTGCGGCTGCCAGGGCTGCAGCTTGCTGTTGAGCTTGCTCGTTTTGTAGACAGGTATCACATCGCGTTATTTTAGATCCTTTACGTTTCAAGGGTTGTAGAATTTGACTGCCGCAGGTGGTACATTTGCTTTGTTCCAATTTTATATTTTTTCCGGAGTTCTGCGTTAAAGCTTCGTTGGAATTTTGTTGTTGCTGTTGTGATTGCTGCTGATGTTGCTGTAGTTGGGCTGTTTGCTGCTGCAATACTGCATTGGCCGGTTCTAAAGACTCTGTGGCTACAATTTGTATCTGTCCCATTTGACCATTTTCGGCAATGATATTTTGTGCCTGTACCAATCCCTGGGCATTTACCAATTGTAATGCATCCGTTTGACCTTGATGCTGTTGATCGCTACCATCTTGGGCATGGGTTCGTTTGTGATGATTCAGCAAGGCCAAGTGGGAAAACATTAAGCCACAGACGTCGCACTTAAAACTTATGTTTGAAATTGTGTTCTGTATGGGCGAGATGGTCTGAAGAGACTAGAATTTGAGAAGATGAAAAAAAATTAGACATAATTTAAGGAGAAAACTTCAAAAACTTACCGCCGCTAGTGGTTTATTTTGATTTACTATTTGCAAACGTCCCTGGGGATCCAGTGTTGCTATACCGATTGTACCACCCTGATTTAATTGATTCAATTGCATACCATTAACCAAGGCGTAGTTATAACCACCCACAGGTTGGGCTATGTAACAGGTTTTGTTGTCGTCCGTGGTCAGTTGGGCCAAGTTTACAGTGGCACCATTACCCTGAAATATAAAAAAGGAAATTTTAAATGTTTGTAAATTATGTAGAAGTTTTGGAACTCACATTGGTTGTGGTATAATAGAATGTGGGCTGATCCTTTTGTCCCTCAATTTTTGGTTGCTTGAGTATGGTTCCATCCGCTGTCTGATATTGTATGGTTGGTTGTACATTTGCTCCAAGAGCATTGGTAAATATTATATTTTTTGTTAGATCTTCCATCATTTGGAGATCTCAAAGATGTAAAAGGGAAATCTGAAAGAAAGGATTGCAAAGGAAAGAGGTTAGCTTGTGAAAAGTATTTTGTACTCCAATGAAAATCTTGATGAAGCTCCCCATGTGGCATAGAGATGAAAGTAGCTTTTAAAGGCCTCCTGCAAATAGAACTTTTAAGGAACGACTTCCACGTTCGCGACTCTGGCAAAAGCCTTGAAAGTCTTAAATGTCTATGAAAATGATCCTTTATCCTCCAGGATTTCTTTAAAAATAATACATTTTAGGAGTTTTCTATAATAGCAGAAAACCCTTTTAGATATTTCATAGTTCAGTGAATATCTTGGCGTAACCCCCATGTGGCATAAAGAGGAAAATAGCTTTCAAAGGCCTCCTGCAAAAAGAACTTTTAAGGGACGACTTCCACGTTCATTTCAAATCGCCTGCACTGAACCCGCAACTCTAGCCAATGCCTTAAAAGTCTAAAATGTCTATGAAGATGATCCTTTATCCTCCAGAATTTCTGTAAAAAGAATAGATTTTAGGAGTTTTCTATATATAGCAGAAAGACCCATTAGATCTCTTACGGGAAGATTGCCTTTAGATTATTTATAGTTCAGTGAATATCCTGGCGTAGCCCCCATGTGGCATAAAAAGGAAAGTAGCTTTCAAAGGCCTCCTGCAAAAAGATGTTTTAAGGGACGCCTGCCCTGAACACGCAACTCTAGCCAATGCCTTAAAAGTCTATAATGTCTAGAAGATGATACTTTATCCTCCAGGATTTCTAAAAAAGAATACATTTTAAGAATTTTCTAGGTCTACTATAACCTTTCATATCTCTTACGGGAAGATTGCCTTTATATACTTCCTTGGGATGGGAAATTCTTTACAAATTATTGACGGATAGCAGATCTTCTTTACTTGTTGAATTTTTTACGTTCCAGAGTCTCCCTTCTGCCCTAAAGGTTCAGCTATCACTTTTATGTCCCTTAAGACTAATTGAACCATAAAAAATCTTGTTTTATCTGTTTTTTAATAAAATGTTGCTTGAAAAACTATTTTTTACACTTTCTTGTCAATTAGAAATGTAAACAAAGCAATTGGGCATTCACTGGGATTGATAACTCGCGCGTTTTTTTTTTAGCCACAGAGATAATGTGACATTAACTTTGTTGTCTTAGCACCAAACCACATTTTCTTTTATAACAATACAATTTAATTCATTTGCTTCCTAAATTATTAAACATTTCACTATAATTAATAATGTAAACAAATCCAAAGACAGGCTAAGAAAAAGTAATAGGGAATTGATAGCAAGCGCGCCTTTTTTATAACTGTGAGTGGGAGAGAGACAGATATAGAACTAGACTTAACAATCCAAAAAAAGTAAAATAAAAGAAATTACATGAAAAAAAACGAAGACAAAAAGGAGACGATGAACGAAAAAAAATCACGAAACAACTAAAAACGATGTAAAAAAATTAGTGCAACTGAAAAAGATGAAATAAAGGCAATTGTTTTTATTTTTACGCTAAGAAAAATTACGTTTTTCGAAGAGGAATTTGGCTCTGATTTTCTTAAATTTCATACTTCACATTTCACCCACTAAAATATGTCAATCGTCTGCCTGTCACTTTACCTTTGATTTATGCAATACACACGACAGCCTCCCCAACAAGACGGCCAAGCAAAGCCAGACAATAGCAACAAATTCCACAAAATTTTCTATAGAAATTTCAAACGAAATTCCTTTAGTTTTCTGCTACTGGCGTTTCACAAATTGTCTCCGGTGTTTATGTTTTGAAATTTCTTTTTGTTGTTTGTTTTTCCCTTTTTCTTTTCTCACATCAATGGGTTTATTATTGTTTGTTTCTTTTTCTAACAAAAGTTTTAGAATACCACAGACATGAGATGCACAATAATTTTTTTTTTCTTCTTTTTTTGAATAGAATTTTTCTTTTCACAAAACTTCTGATACTGCTCTTCTACGTTGTTTAGAATGGCAGCCTTTCAGCAGCACACACATTCGTACGAATGAAACGAACGAACATTTGCAGCAGACCTCGTTTTTTATCTCGTTCGACAGTCGGTCTTTGTATGCCTTTTCACTTCTTCACCAACGAATGCATACGTGTGTGTCTGTGTGAGCTTGTTGGTCTATTTCATGTCTTCTTCTTCTCCGCCGAATATTTCTTTTTTCTTCCACACACAAGCCAGACAGAGAAAAAATATGGCGACTCACAGAAGAAGTATTGTATTTTTATTGGAGAAAAGTACCGTAATCTATATAGTTTTTTAGATTTTCTTGTTTCACTTTGTTGCTTTATCTTCTTTAATTATTTCATGTTTTTTTTTTTCATTCCTTAAATGTTTTATTTATTTGTAATATTTTTTGTTCTATTAAAACACTTCCATCACTTTGTGGTCAATCACTCCGTTTTCGCTTTCACTCTATGCCGTTGTTAAAATGAGACTGAATGACAATTGCATCTCTCTTCGTTGAGTTATTCAATGAGAAGAGAGACCGCTATATACCGAAGAAACCCAAAAATAACATTGCATATGATGTATGAGGAAAGGAGATGCAAATAGTGTAAAAACAAGGTAGTATATTAGAATGATGGTAATTGTTAAAATTTTATTAATATAAACAAATTCCTGGGATTCTTTTCAGATAATTTAATGAAAATTATTTAAAAACTTGTAGTTGTGTGGGACCCAATACCAACTGAATATATTTTAAAGGTAACAAAATAAATTAGAACAAAAGATGTGTATAAAAATAGTAAATATTACCTACCTATCGAATGATGTGAACACTCCTTAAATATTGACCAGCGCCATCTTGGGATGTTAAAAGTTAGCTTGCTATCATTGATTTTGTTGTGTAAATTACGCTGCATACCTTAAGGCTGTTTATGAAATTAGCAGTTGCTACTTTGAAAACAAGACGAATATGGTTTTGGAGATGTTGGCTGTTAAAGACACAGTGATTTTTTGGGATATAAATAACACTTCCCAGACGCATTTTTCTAGAGTTAAACTAGGCATGGACCCATTTTTATGCATTTTTTTAGAGTTAAACTAGGCGTGGACCTTTTTAAATGCATTTTTTTAGAGTTAAACCAGGCGAGGATTTTTTAATGCATTCTTCTAAATTTAAACTAGGCGTGGATTTTTAATGCATTTTTCTAAATTTAAACTAGGCGTGGATTTTTTAATACATTTTTCTAAATTTAAACTAGGCGTAGACCTTTTTTAATGCATTTTTAAACTAGGCGTGGATTTTTTAATGCATTTTTAAACTAGGCGTGGATTTTTCAATGCATTTTTAAACTAGGCGTTGATTTTTTAATGCATTTTTAAACTAGGCGTGGATTTTTTAATGCATTTTTAAAATAGGCGTAGATTTTTTAATGCATTTTTAAACTAGGCGTGGATTTTTTAATGCATTTTTAAACTAGGCGTGGATTTTTTAATGCATTTTTAAACTAGGCGTGGATTTTTTAATGCATTTTTAAACTAGGCGTGGATTTTTTAATGCATTTTTAAACTAGGCGTGGATTTTTTAATGCATTTTTAAACTAGGCGTGGATTTTTTAATGCATTTTTAAACTAGGCGTGGATTTTTTAATGCATTTTTAAACTGGGCGTGGATTTTTTAATGCATTTTTAAACTAGGCGTGGATTTTTTAATGCATTTTTAAACTAGGCGTGGATTTTTTAATGCATTTTTAAACTAGGCGTGGATTTTTTAATGCATTTTAAACTAGGCGTGGATTTTTTAATGCATTTTTAAACTAGGCGTGGATTTTTTAATGCATTTTTAAACTAGGCGTGGATTTTTTAATGCATTTTTAAACTAGGCGTGGATTTTTTAATGCATTTTTAAACTAGGCGTGGATTTTTTAATGCATTTTTAAACTAGGCGTGGATTTTTTAATGCATTTTTAAACTAGGCGTGGATTTTTTAATGCATTTTTAACTAGGCGTGGATTTTTTAATGCATTTTTAAACTAGGCGTGGATTTTTTAATGCATTTTTAAACTAGGCGTGGATTTTTTAATGCATTTTAAACTAGGCGTGGATTTTTTAATGCATTTTTAAACTAGGCGTGGATTTTTTAATGCATTTTAAACTAGGCGTGGATTTTTAATGCATTTTTAAACTAGGCGTGGATTTTTTAATGCATTTTAAACTAGGCGTGGATTTTTAATGCATTTTGCGTGGATTTTTTAATGCATTTTAAACTAGGCGTGGATTTTTAATGCATTTTAACTAGGCGTGATTTTAAACTAGGCGTGGATTTTTAATGCATTTTTAAACTAGGCGTGGATTTTTTAATGCATTTTAAACTAGGCGTGGATTTTTAATGCATTTTTAAACTAGGCGTGGATTTTTTAATGCATTTTTAAACTAGGCGTGGATTTTTTAATGCATTTTTAAACTAGGCGTGGATTTTTTAATGCATTTTAAACTAGGCGTGGATTTTTTTAATGCATTTTTAAACTAGGCGTGGTTTTTTAATGCATTTTTAAACTAGGCGTGGATTTTTTAATGCATTTTTAAACTAGGCGTGGTTTTTTAATGCATTTTTAAACTAGGCGTGGATTTTTTAATGCATTTTAAACTAGGCGTGGATTTTTTTAATGCATTTTAAACTAGGCGTGGATTTTTTTTAATGCATTTTTCTAGAGTTAAACTAGGCGTGGATTTTTTAATGCATTTTTCTAGAGTTAAACTAGGCGTGGATTTTTTAATGCATTTTTCTAGAGTTAAACTAGGCGTGGATTTTTTAATGCATTTTTAAACTAGGCGTGGATTTTTAATGCATTTTTAAACTAGGCGTGGATTTTTTAATGCATTTTTAAACTAGGCGTGGATTTTTTAATGCATTTTTAAACTAGGCGTGGATTTTTAATGCATTCTTAAACTAGGCGTGGATTTTTTAATGCATTCTTAAACTAGGCGTGGATTTTTTAATGCATTTTTAAACTAGGCGTGGATTTTTTAATGCATTTTTAAACTAGGCGTGGATTTTTTAATGCATTTTTAAACTAGGCGTGGATTTTTTAACGCATTTTTAAACTAGGCGTGGATTTTTTAATGCATTTTTAAACTAGGCGTGGATTTTTTAATGCATTTTTAAACTAGGCGTGGATTTTTTAACGCATTTTTAAACTAGGCGTGGATTTTTTAATGCATTTTTAAACTAGGCGTGGATTTTTTAATGCATTTTTAAACTAGGCGTGGATTTTTTAATGCATTTTTAAACTAGGCGTGGATTTTTTAATGCATTTTTAAACTAGGCGTGGATTTTTTAATGCATTTTTAAACTAGGCGTGGATTTTTTAATGCATTTTTAAACTAGGCGTGGATTTTTTAATGCATCTCTTCAGAATTTGAATTTTTGGAGAGTTTCATGAGTTTTTCCTCTCCCGAACTCCCACCTGGAATACATTGTCATCGGCATCATCAACATCAATCACTTTCTAAAAGTTTCCGCATACATTTTCCCCAGCCAAATCTTTTACTTTTTCTTTCTTTGTTGTGTCCGCTCAAGCTTCGTCGCCTGGCTTATGGTTATGGCTGTTGGTACCCAATAAACTGGCATTTAATTTCCATATTGCCTGTGAAAAGTCACTTAAAAACAAAAGTATGTGATGCCAAGTAGTGCTGCCGCGAAAAAAAATGAATTTCCATTTCCATATTTTGTGTGTGAGCGTGATGCGATGGCTTCTTCTCATGGCCGAAATTTTGAAATTTTCTTTGCCATCTTTTGCAGCTTTTCCTTGAAATAAAATGTGTGTCTGCCATTAAGATATGCTGTGCTATGCTACTTCCACAATTTTTTTTTTGATTGGGCGCCATTTAGGTAGATTTGCTTATGGGGATGCGCTGTTCGGTGTGGACAAGTTTGGCAAATATTTTTTCCAGGCTATTTTTAGTCTTGACCAAAAAATGTTTAACATATAGGCATTGTTTGTAACAATGCCAGGGTTGCCAAAGTTCAAAATATTAAATATTAAAAAATATATATTTTTTAATTTTTAAAAAATATTTTTAAAAAAATCCACGTTTGTTGATGGTCCATAAAAAAAATATTTTTAAAAAATCCACGTTTGTTGATGGTCTATGAAAAAAATATTTTTAAAAAAATCCACGTTTGTTGATGGTCCATAAAAAAATATTTTTAAAAAATCCACGTTTGTTGATGGTCCATGAAAAAATATTTTTAAAAAATCCACGTTTGTTGATGGTCCATGAACAAATATTTTTAAAAAATCCACGTTTTTTTGATGGTCCATGAACAAATATTTTTAAAAAATCCACGTTTGTTGATGGTCTATGAAAAAAATATTTTTAAAAAAATCAACGTTTGTTGATGGTCCATGAAAAAATATTTTAAAAAATCCACGTTTGTTGATGGTCCATGAAAAAATATTTTTAAAAAATCCACGTTTGTTGATGGTCGATGAAAAAATATTTTTAAAAAATCCACGTTTGTTGATGGTCCATGAAAAAATATTTTTAAAAAATCCACGTTTGTTGATGGTCGTTGAAAAAATATTTTTAAAAAATCCACGATTGTTGATGGTCCATGAAAAAATATTTTAAAAAATCCACGTTTGTTGATGGTCCATGAAAAAATATTTTTAAAAAATCCACGTTTGTTGATGGTCCATGAAAAAATATTTTTAAAAAATCCACGTTTGTTGATGGTCCATGAAAAAATATTTTAAAAAAATCCACGTTGTTGATGGTCCATGAAAAAATATTTTTAAAAAATCCACGTTTGTTGATGGTCTATGAAAAAAATATTTTTAAAAAAATCAACGTTTGTTGATGGTCCATGAAAAATATTTTTAAAAAATCCACGTTTGTTGATGGTCCATGAAAAAATATTTTTAAAAAAATCCACGTTTGTTGATGGTCCATGAAAAAATATTTTTAAAAAATCCACGTTTGTTGATGGTCCATGAAAAAATATTTTTAAAAAATCCACGTTTGTTGATGGTCCATGAAAAAATATTTTTAAAAAATCCACGTTTGTTGATGGTCCATGAAAAAATATTTTTAAAAAATCCACGTTTGTTGATGGTCCATGAAAAAATATTTTTAAAAAATCCACGTTTGTTGATGGTCCATGAAAAAATATTTTTAAAAAATCCACGTTTGTTGATGGTCCATGAAAAAATATTTTTAAAAAATCCACGTTTGTTGGTGGTCCATGAAAAAATATTTTTAAAAAAAATCCACGTTTGTTGATGGTCCATGAAAAAATATTTTTAAAAAATCCACGTTTGTTGATGGTCCATGAAAAAATATTTTTAAAAAAATCCACGTTTGTGATGGTCCATGAAAAAATATTTTTAAAAAATCCACGTTTGTTGATGGTCCATGAAAAAATATTTTTAAAAAATCCACGTTTGTTGATGGTCTATGAAAAAATATTTTTAAAAAAATCAACGTTTGTTG